GCAAGAATGTACTCCTCCCCACTCACCTGACTCAGAATAAATCTGTAATCTGTTTAAAACACCTGCTGAAAATTTGTTATTTGGTAAAAAATCCCATTGCCAAATCATCTCACTGTCAGAAATTGTTTCATATAGAAAAATCATACCATTGCTTAATCATGTTTTCTCTTAAGTAAAATCCCATCCTGTAGATCTAGTATCAGAAAATTTTTTTGTAAGAGGCCAGACAGTAATAGATTTTGTGGGTTACATGTTCTTTTTTACAGCTAATTAGTTCCCTGTGCCCTTGTATTAGTAAAGCAATCCTAGATCATCCATAAACAAATGAGCGGTCTATGTTTCAATAAAACTTTGTTCACAAAAGTAGAGGACATATTTGCACATGAAGATACATGAATCATTCACAATAACTAAAAGGTAGAAACAAGTCAAGTTGCCTTGAACAAATGAATGGATAAACAAAATGTGACATATACACAGGAGTACTATTTGGTTATGAAAATATTGACATGAGTTACAGCAGATGGACCTGGAAAATATTACGCTTAGTGAAATAAATCAAACGGGGCAAACGGTGTATGATTCTACTTACAAGTACTTAGAATAGACAAATTCATATATATAGAAAGTAGATTAACGCTTAGCAGGGGTTGGAGGCAAAGAGGGAATTACTGTTCAGTGGGTAGAGTTTTTGTTGAGCCAGAAGAAAAAGGTTTGTAATAGAGATGGTGGTGATGATTATTCAGCAGTGTCAATGTATATAATGGCACTAAATCCATACTTAAAAATGGTAGATGTTCTGTTCTTCTATATTTGACCACACCTTAAAAAGAAAGGATAAGAAACCATGGAAAATGGATAATAGGCTGGATTTGCCCTGTTGGCTATTGCCAACCATTTTTTGTTTGTTTTTGCAGTGCTGCAGATCAAACTCCAGGCCCTGCACATACTAGGAAACCTCTATCACTGAACTACATCCTTAGCCCTTGGTTTTTTGAGACAGTGTCGCTATTGTAGCCCAGGCTGGCCTTGAATTCATGATCCTTGAGCCTCCCTCCTGGGTGCTGGGATTACAAGTATGTACCACCATGGTCGGCCTACTTGCTAACACTTGATAAAAGTCAGAAAGTCTTGTCAGCCTCTATTGTAAGCTTACTTTTTTTTTTTTTTTTTTTTTTTTTTTTGGTGCTGGGGGTTTTGAACCCAGGGCTCTACCACTTGAGCAACTCCGTGTGTGTGTGTGTGTGTGTGTGTGTGTGTGTGTGTGTTTTTGTGTTTTTGTGTTTTTGGGTATTTTCAAGGTAGAGTCTCAAACTATTTTGCCTGGGGCTGGCTTTGAGCCCTGATCCTCTTTATCTCTGTCTCCTGAGTAGCTACGATTATAAGCATAAACCATCAGTACCCAGTCATTGTGTGTGTGTGTGTGTGTGTGTGTTCTAATTCTTACTTTAGTTAATTATTTGCAGCGTGGGGGTTAAACCCAGGGCCTTGTTCATGCCAGGCAGATGCTCTGCCATTGAGCTTTATCCCTAGCCCTTGTGTTCTCATTCTTAATCATCTTGGTGACTGTCCTCCAGGTTCTTGATACTCTTTGTGAGTGGTGGGTGGGGTGCGGTTCTTGAGTGTTGTAATAAGAACTGAGGCTCAACAAGTGTTTTCTGGGGGTGAGTCTCTGGGTTCCACCCCCAGTACTGCAAATAAAAATTGGGGGGAAGGAAAGAAAAGATGTTTCCTCATTCGATTGTCTCACTGAGTGGAAGCGGTGAGGGCAGAGACGTCCTCAGTGGACTAAATGTTGTGTGCCCTTTAACCGAAATCCTAGCCCCCTATGTGATGGGTTACAAGGTAGGACCTTTGAGAAGTGATTCGAGTCTTGATGGTAGAGCCCTAGTGAATGGGATTGGTGCCTTTATAGAAAACTCAAGGACTGGCAGTGAGGCTCAAGTGGTGGAGTCCCTTCTTACCAAGAGTTCAAACCCCAATAGGGCAAAAATAAAATAAAAAGATACAGTCTTAAAAATTTTAAATTTATTTATTGTTATAATTATCATTTGCAATACTGGAGTTTGAAATCAGGACTTCTTGCTTGTTAGGAACTCTACCACTTGAGCCACTCTGCCAGCCCAAGAATGAACTGAGCTGGGCACCAGTGGATCATGCCTGTGATCCCAGCTACTCAGGAGGGTAGAGATTGCAAGAGTTGAGATTTGAGGCCAGTCCTGGCAAAAAAGTGGGATCACAGCTATGCCAGATAGAATTGTTGTCTAACCCTCACCCCCACCAGCAAAATTGTGAAACCGTATCTGAAAAAATAACTGAAAAAGACTTCAGAGCACTCTTGAGCCCTCTGTGTGAGGGTGCAGAGTGAAGGTAGCCATCTACAAGCCAGCGAGTGGGCCACCAGCAAGAACGAAGACATGCTGCTAGACCCCTGATCTTGGACTTCTGAACTGTGAGAAGGAAATGTAGAAGCCATACAGTCAATGGTATTTTTGTTTGTGGCTGCTAAACTGGAGTGATACCTTTTGTCAGTACCTTATACAGGGTAGTATGACTCCCGGCTTTATTGTCATTCTTTTTTTTTTTTCCCCAGTATTGGGTTTGAACTTAGGGTTTAGTTCTTGCTAGGCAGGTGTTCCAGTATTTGGGCCACACCTTCTGCCCTGCTGTCAATTCTTATATCAGAAATATAAACTGTCCTAGACACGTGTGCGTTCACGTGCGCGCACACACACACACACACACACACAGTCTAGTCTGTACACTTGAAAGTTCTGTTGCAGTTGTGCCTAAGTTAGGTTGAAAGTAGTCCTAAGGAGAATGACATGAATCAGTCTGGCGGAGGCCTAGCTTTGTAATTGATGGTCAGTTCTGTTGACCATCCATATTTTTTTAGGCCCCCTCATCCATCCATAGGTGGATATTCTTCATCTGTATGTGGATGATAACCTGGGGCATATCATCTGTAGTGTTCTTCCTTGTTCCCAAGAAGAGGCAGCCAAGCTTCACAATTAATGCATATGCGTCTCAAGTTTAGAACTCAAGAGTTCTTGTGTGATGCTAAGTAGTAACCCTGAGCAAATCACTGGACTTGCGCTTCCGTTTTCTCCACAGTAAGATCAAGTTGATAATTCAGCTGTTTCATACGGGAATGTGTGCAGTGATTGAAGTAATGCGTCCATATATACAATAAAATGTCACCTGCTGTGATTGCCTGAATTTTGTTTTGTTTTGTTTTGGGGTTTTTGGGTTTTTTTGGTGGGACTGGGGTTTAAATTCAGGGCTGCTTGCAAAGTGGTCACTGTACTGTTTGAGCCACATGTCTAGTCCAGTCTGATTTTTTTTTTTTTTTAAGTAACCAGGATGAAGAGTGGTGAAAGGGAGGAAAGAGAAGGGCATTTAAAGTTTTAAATGATTTCTCCCTTTTATGTCTTTTCATATATCCTCGATTAGATGTAGTTTTTTGTTTTGTTTTTTTGTAGTACCATCAATTGTAGGTTTTGATGACTTTTTTTAGGTTGGGTCTTACAAGGTTTTTTTTGTTTTTTTTGTAGTACTGGGGCTTGAACTCAGTCTCATGCTTGCTAGGCAGGTGCTCTACCACTTGAACCACTCTGCCAGCCCTTTTTTGTGTTGAATATTTTCGAGATAGGGTCTCACAAACTATTTGCTTAGGCTGGCCTCGAACCACAATCCTCCTGTTCTCTGTCTCCTGAGTAGCTAGAAGTACAGGTGTGATTTTTAACACTGGTGGAAAGGTAATAAGAGTTGAGTAAGCCATTTTACATTTTGGAAGATCTTGTTCTTGCTCTTTGTGAAACAATTTAGTGGAGAGGCAGAAAATTTCAGCCTTCAAAATTATGGGGCACCTTTTTTGCTTTAGGCATCCAAGTGATAGACTGTTTGGCCCCTGGGCACTTCCGCTCTAGCTTAAGGCAAACAACAAAAATTCAAAGTAGAAATAACTTAATCTCTCATTCTTATCAGGAAGTAATGTAGGAGTCCTGAGCAAAGGTAAGAATATGAGGTTGGAATGATGGAATTAGTCCTTGGAGGTGTGAACTAGGTTCTGGGGGAGCTGAGTTTAGAGAGAGGAGAGAAAAGCAACTTGGGCTTATTGAATGCCTCCTATCAGGTACTTGCAAATTAGCGTAGGAGAAAAACAGACTTGATGGGATAGAGGGCATGCACAAAAGAGGATGGAAAGCAAGACTGGATATGTTAACATGGGACCAGGCAGCATAGGACCCAGTAGTTCAAATTGAAGGGCTTGCACCAAAGGTGAAGTAAACGGTCAACAGAATTAGGTGTCTGTTACATAGATTGATTATAGGGCATCAGCATTGCTTTTACACCTGTTGGATTTGAGAGGATGGTAAGACAGGTAAACATATATTTTTTGAATACATACTTACCGAGGGCCAAGTATGTACAGACTTTGAATAAGGCTCTCTTGCGAAACTTGGGGATCAAAACTGACCAACTTGGCGCTTTCTAGTGGGAGAGGCAAAAGTGAACCTCACAGCTATAATTGCCCTTGGATTTAGTGGAGAATGCAGAGTAAAGGCCATGAGGTGACAGAAGAGCTGTGCTACACTGGAAGAAGGAGCTAGGGGAGACTAAAGGACCTGGAATTGGAGGCTCATTATGAAGTGCAAACTGGGATGTCACAGTTCATCCAGTGGCATCCAGTTGGTAGTTAACAGGAATTCTTGTGGTGAGTAAAAGGCAGAACTCTGAGACAAGAAGCAGTTAGAGGAGTAGGGTGATCCTGGAAAGTGGTGATGAGGTGCTAATAGGAGGCTGTTCCTGATCCATAGGGTTTGGCATTAAGGATTTTGGCAATTACAAGCAGAAACAGTAGTTCACAAGATGGAGAATGAAGAGCAAGTGGTTTAGAAATTGAGGTGGTAGCGACCCAGTTTGAAAAGGTAGCAGTTTTTATACTCCTTTAAATGTATTTATTCAGCTAAGATGATTAATCTCATGATGTGTTTCAGATGAAAAAAAAGATATTGACCATGAAACAGTGGTTGAAGAACAGATCATTGGAGAGAACTCGCCTCCTGATTATTCAGAGTATATGACAGGCAAGAAACTCCCTCCTGGGGGGATACCTGGCATTGATCTCTCAGATCCTAAGCAACTAGCAGAATTTGCTAGGTAAGTTATAAGAACTTTCCTTTCTTTTCGTTATAGAAAGTGATTGAGTCTTGCCAGCTGTGGGTTTTTTTTTTTTTTTGGTGCCTACATCACAATGGTGGTTTGTATTCTTTCTCTAGGGATACTTCTAAAACAAAAGCAGCTAGTTTTATTTTTAGTAATAACTATGCTATTAATGTGAGTGGCAGCAATTTAAGTCATTGCAGACATTAAGATCAGGCAGATACTCTAATTCTAAAACAGGAATTGCTTGGTAGTAAATAAAATTGTACATTACTTGTTTCAAGGTGGGTGTCCTCATACTGCCTCCTGACCTCTTTGTCTGCATTTTAAGTTTGGGTGTGTTGCACTCTACCCTGGTCTATCCTAGATCCCCCCCAGCCCCCCCAGCTGATTTTACCAGTTCATATTTCGACCTGTCTTTAGTTAAGCTCCCAGTGTTGTGTTGAACTGGCATGACAGGAAGAGATCAGGTATTTATGGCCCCTGACCCCTGTGACTGTCCTGTGATGAGCAGTCAAATTGATGATTGTTTGTTTTGCCTAAAATAGGCTGGGTTCCTACAAAAGCCTCTGTGACTTTTTGTATTATTTTACTTTATAGCACAGTTTGATAGTTTTTACAAGGACATAGGAAAAACCACAGAGATGTAAATTTTTATATAAAATAGAATCAATAAAATACACTATGGAGTAGAAGCCCTCATTGTTCCCTTACCTGAGCTTAAATGGAGCCTGGCACAACCCAAGAAAATTAGGCAAGAACAGAATCAGGGAGGAAGATCCCTTTGTGGTCCTGTAACTGCTGAGGAAAAAGTGGAGCATCTTTCTTCTTTCTCTTGAGCAGTAGAGGGAAGAACTGGAGTGCTCAGTTTCCTCTGCCAGTTGGACCACAAGTCTCCAAATCCTGCTGTGTTGTTTTTTTTGGTGTGTGTGCGCGTGCGTGTGTGTGTGTGAGAGAGAGAGAGATTGGGTTTGAACTCAGGACTTCACGCTTGTGAAGAAAGTACTCTACAGCTTGAACCACATCTCCAGTCCATTTTGCTCTGGTTATTTGTTTTAAAGATGGGCTTTCATGAGCTATTTGCCTGGGCTGGCCTCTAACCTCATCCTCCCAATCTCAGTCTCCCAAGTAGTAAATAGTTAGGATTATAGGCACAGGCCAACAAACTCTGGCCCCACTGTGTTTCATAAAGGAGATTTTTACCCCTTTCTCCCCACCAGCGAAACAGTAGCTGCACATAATGTATTTCTAACTTATCATAGCTTAGCAAAGTTAAGACTCAATGCTTTTGTTAATAGAATTGCATTTCAGTTTTTATTGCCATTAATATTTCAAATGCAATTATGTCAATCATATTTACTCCCCCCCCCAAAAAAAAACCTTGCACATAAAAATTGAATCTGTAGAACATACAGTTGTCAGTGAAGTTACAGGAATACTGAGCCAGTGCAGTATTGTTTGTTTCTGAAGTCAGCTAGCTCTTTCTTGTATGCTCAGAATTGAGTGAAGACATATGGAACAGAAGAATCAAAGTGTTGTGGAGGTTATGGTATCTGATAGTCTTGATGGGGTTTCCATCCATGGTAGGGCCTTTGTGCGAGAAATGTCTTTAACAATAGAAAGTACAGACGCTATGTATAGTTGTGTAGTTGTGTCTGGGAATTTGGGTACTTAAGGGAAATAATTAGAGTTAAGGTAAATTGGAACCAAATCATTAAGGTCTATGAATACTGGGCCACAGCATGTGGACTTTTTCTTGTGTGCAGTTGGCAGCTTCTAAAGGCTTTTGAGCCGTGAGAGGGTTGGGAGTTGAGAGCTTTAGTTAGAGACAATTACTTTGCAGCAAGATCCAGACGGATTGGTGCAGGCTCCCGAGAACATGGGTAAAAGAAAGGCCTCAGCTAGAATGGTGGCAGAAAAGAAATGTGTAAAAATTACAAGAAATGGTAGGAAAGATTTAGAAGCACATTAGCTAATAGACAGTTCTGGTTTGGTTTGTTGGTGCTAATAAAAAGTCCAGGCTGGACTTGAGGTGGTGGTCATCTTATGAAGGCAGGCTGAAAGCATGAACATGGTAAGTAGGTTCTGAGGAAGAAGGTTTGGGGAAGAGAAGACCCAGCATACAATCTGGGGGAAACCCTTGTATTTGGAGAGCAAGACGAAGTAGTGAGAGGAGAAGGGTCATTCTGATGAGTACACTCGGGAAGTACAGCATCCAACAGCCAGTTTCCCAGGCCCAAGAGAGGAAGGAATAGAATCGTACATGGAGAAGTAATCTCAGTGGCAAGGCAGAGGGCTGAAGAAAGGCTTTAGGAGAGGGACCCTAGTGTTCACCTTCCCTGGAGAATTGGAGGAAAAAGAGAATTGCTTCCTGTTCCCACCCCCACTCATCTGAACAGCAAACCCAGGGCACCTGGGTCTGTTGGGAAGAGACCTGGCTTCTCTGCATCAGTATTGCCTTAGAACTTACTCTTAGGAAGGGGGCTCCCCATGAAGACTGGGGCCTAGGTACCACATAGCCATCCATTTGTTTTATGTATATCTTGTGGTATTGGGGTTTGAATTCAGGCCTCATGTGTTTACTAGACAGGCACTCTACCACTTGAGCCATTCCACCATCCCCACATTTGTGACATTTCAAAACATGAAGGAACCTTGGAACTTTAAAGCTGGGCTGGGGATGTGGCCCAAGTGGAAAGTGCTTGACTACCAAGTACAAGACCTAAGTTCAAGCCTAGTATAACACACACACACCCCGGCCCTTACACACCCCCCAGCCCTTACACTTCTAGGGGGAAAGTCCATCTGCAGAAGAATGGTAGACCTGAATGATATGATTCCAATAGACAATTAGAAGATAATCAGTGTTTTTAGAGGAACAATTGCTGGAAATGCCAGAAGTGTTTTTAAGTTTAAAAAAAAAAAATGTATCATGCTAGGGATGGAAACCAGGGCCTCAGGCCTGCTTGGCAGTTGCTCTACAATTGAGCTACAGCTCCAGTCCATAAATATAAAGATCTTGATCTAGTGAAGCTCTCAGTCAAATACAAGGCAATTTAAAGGATTTGTTTTGTATTGCATCTACTTCCTGAGGCAATTACTTGAGGATACAGTTCAGCAGAATGAGGGTAGACATGAGAAAGAACACTTCCTATGCAGAAACCCAGGAGGACGGCTGTGTTGCAGGCAAGGAAACGTAGTTCCTTTAGAATAGGAAGTTGGCTAGCAAGAGTGCTCAGGAAAGTCACTTATGCTCAGTAGTGCATACAATGAGTAAGACATATGGTAAAAGTAAAGAATCTCAAAAAGGGCAAGGCAATCAGCAAAACTATAAAGGGGTGAGGAGTGGCGCTTAAAAAACAAGAAGCCATGGCCTAAAACTGGGGCATAATTGTGGCTGTATTTAAAAAGAACTCATTGCCCCTTACTTTAGGAAAGTGCTCTCCTTGGTACTGGTACTTGAGGCTACTGTGTTGGACTTGTAGAGCCAGAAGTATGGTGCAGCACACGGTAACAATATTTATATAATCATACTGTGATAGTGAGCAGTGTTTATATTCTTTTATAATCAGTCTTAAAAGATTTCATTTTATGTCTAGAGTAGGGTGACATCTTGCTCATCTTGACACAGTGTGTAAAAGGTATAGGTTTGGCCACTAAGATGAATTGAGGTTGGACTCAACTTATCCCTGTTCTCATGTCAACCTAGATACATCTCTTAATTATTAGACAGTGGTTGTAAAGGGAAATGTTTAAGACTGGGTACCCTGTTTGAGTATACAAAGACCTAAATGTGTGTAGCAGTTGAATAGTTTCTTCTAAAATTGGTGACTGGAGTTGAAGAGACAAGTTTTGGACTGTTGGGGGCCAGACTGCATTTTCTGTACTGAACTTGTTCTTCTGACCTCCCTTCCACTCTGTGACTGGAGTCACAGAGTTAGAGCCTTGAGCTCTAAGCTTATGGCAGAGCATTGGCTGCTTTTCCTTCTCCTCCAGGTCTTGGGGTAAATAGACTTGAAATTAACCAAAGATTGTTCCTGGCTCCTGCCACATTCCACATAGACTGCTTATTAGCATATCAAGTTACATATTCCAGTGGGCATATAACAAGAAATGAGGACATTGATTTGAAAGTCCCAGCCTCGGAGAGGTGAGATCATGGGGGACTTTATTCTTTCCTGAGATGGCTGTTTAGTAAATGTTTGAAAAAATAATTGTGGGTGGGATCTGCCAAATTCTGTTTCCTGATTAAATGGACAGCCAGTGTATTTCATTAATTCATGTTAGCCATGTTCTGGTCTAAGCCAGGCATGCTTCTAGAATTCAGGAGGGTGAGGCAGGAGTATCACAAGTTTGAAGCCAGTCTGAGCAACATAGTGAGACTGCCTCAAAGAAAAAAGAAAAAAGGAAGGCTGAAGATGTGACTTAAGTGGTAGAGCACCTGCCTAACAAGTGCGAAGCTGGGAGTTCAAACCCCAGTACTACCAAAATAAATAAACAGAGGGGAAAGGAGGGAGGGAAAAGAAAACCTTTGGTCTAGAAAGGTGAGCATAAAGAGTAGTAAAGCCAACCCCAAGATGTTTTTATTTTAGGTTGGTTGGTTTTGTTTTTTTTTTTTTTTAAATCACTACCTACCCTGAGACTCTTAAAATGTAAAGATAAAACGTGACAATAGAGATGAAAATACCTTAAAACTTTTCCAATATTACATGAATATGTATTGTCTACTTAAGACCTAAGTTAAGGGCTCGGAGGTGTGGCTCAAGTGATAACAGTGCTTGCCTATCGAGCATGGGGCCCTGTATTCAAGCCCCAGTGCCACCAAAAAAAAGACGTGTCATTGAACAAATTTGTTGTGGTTGTTCAAGACAACACTATCTTTGCACAAAGAAGGGAGGTAAATAGTGAATAGTGCTTACAGAGGGTAGCTGAAATTGCCCAGGAGCTTGTGCTACTGGCACAAGGCCTATATGATTCTTCTGGTCAAAGCTTTTCTGCAGGAAAGAGGCTTATTTTCATTAGAAAATTTTCAACAGACTGAAACTTGTTGTCTCTGCTCCAGAACTGTTCATCTCCTTCCAGGACATTTACAGGTTTACATTAGTTGGAACTTTTGGTTTGTCCATTGCTCTGCTGAAATTGTGCCAGGAAGTTCTGCAAGCATGAGTTCTGAAGTCCCAGAATTTATATGTTCCTTCCACAGGTGTCAGAATGAGATACTGTAAACCCAGCAGTCCTGTCACATGGGAGCATAGTCTCTGTTTTTACTGGAACAGGACACTGCCGTTGGGTGCCTGGCTTCTCTATATAACTTGTAATACACTGAGGGGTTGCCTTTCTGCTTGTGCCGTTCTTTCTTCAGTCCCTCAGTCCTTTGTTGAAGGAGTAGTTTATAACATCAAAACCTTCTGATATCTTTAAAGAATGAATTCAATTTGCCGGGTATAGTGGTAGATGGCTGTTTTTCCAGTACTCTAGGGCTGAGTAAGAGGTTTGAAAGTTCAAGGCTAGCCTGAGCTACATGGTACAAACAAAAGAATGAACTCATTTTAAACTATGCCCATGGAACACTTAGCCAATGGTAATAATAGCTGTTGTTAATGTGTGTCATTGTTTAATCCTTGCAGCTTTAAAGTAGGGAGCGTTATAGTATACTTGTTTACAGTGTAAGAAACAGAGGCTGAGAAATTGTAGTTTGCTCAAGGTCATGCATCTAGTAGAAGTCAGCCCCAAGACACATCCATCTTGTCTCGTTTGTAATGCCTGTGCTGTCGTCCTCATTGTTTCTGGGTCTGTAAAGTATCAGTCAGTGAATGAAAATCCCCTCTAGTTATTTCTGAATAGTTGGGAGAGTCTTGAAGATATTCGAAGCAGTAGTGTATGATTTTAGTCTTTACTTGAAAACTTTAAAATCTTAAGTGTGCTTTATTTATTTAGTTTTTGAAAACTAACCGCTCTATGGCAAGGAACGATGTGTGAGGCTGTAGTTAAATCTTTCATTAACTCTGAGTCCAAGAATATTTGTCCAAATGTATTTTAAGTTCCCATTCTAAAGTTAATTACACTGCTAAATACTAGCGTACATTTTTGAAAATGACATTTAAGAAAAACTGCCTCTGGGTATAGTGGCACACACTTGTAATTCTAGCAGTCTGGAGGATGAGGCAGGAGGTTCAGGAATTCACGGCCAGCCTGAGGTGCCTAGAAAGACCCTGTCTTACCAAAAAGAAAAAAAGGAACTATCACTTCAAAAAACAAAGTTGGGCAAATGGGACTAATCTCTTACTCCTGTGTATATTTGAAATTTTCCATGTCAAAAATACTTTCAAAGATTAAATTCTGGGAATAAATCCACCCTCTTTTAGGTGTGTGTTCTACTCTACAAATTTGGACAAGCACAATCATGTAGCCATTGCTACAGTTCACATATTAAAGCATTTTAATGGAATAGTCAATGAACAGACTCTCTTAATTGAGAAGATTGGAGCTTGATTCTTTATGTCTTCTAATACTTCGGAAGTGTAAACCTTTTGTGAGTTACTTCTTCACAGTGATCTAACTTCCAGGTGGCACAGCGACACAAAACTCCTGTCCTTCCTAGTCTGTGAACTCAGACCAAAAACTCCAGAATGTATTGGTATTTAAGACAATGAAGGCTATTTCAGAGCCCTGTACACAGCAGGTGCTTAAGAAATATTTGCTAACTGATGTGGTAACAATTCAGTAAAAAGAAAGAATGAGTATCTACAGGATTGGGTGGGGGAGGATACACACTGAGAATGTTTGAGAATTTAAAGTAGAGATACAGATAGTCTTGAACAAACTCCATGGAGATAATAGCTCCCAAACATGTTGTTCCTCCTGTATGTTTAGGTCAAACTTCCTGAGTCAGATTTTGTAGTGGAAGAAGGATCAGGTAACTTCTTTCCCAGATCAAGGCTGAAGAATGATATTGTTAAGGCCTTTGTTAACTAAGAGGTGACCGGTAATCTTTTCTAGTAAAAGGGTGGTGGTAAAAACTAACTCCTATTTAATAAAATATTGTTTAACAATAACAATATGAACATCAAGGGGTAATGAGAATGGTAGAACTGGGACAAAAGAAAATCTGTTTTAGAGATTTAAGTCTTTTAGCTTTTCTAAAAACTCTTTAATTCTTACCCCTCTACCATATACCAGATTTATAGGGTTCTTTAAGGTTTTGCCAAAAAAAAAAAAAAATTGGTTCAGTGGAAGTAGCTGGTGTGGGTAAGTTACCAAATCAGCAAGCTATCTGCAGAGCTTCCTGCAGGGCTCTCCCAGATTGCCTATGGTACCAGGGCTTTTGTGACACAGCTTTCAAACCCTCCACCAGAAGCAGGGCCAGAAAATTGCTGCCATTTAAATTCTTTGAAGACTATGATCTCCCACTCCCTGCAACCATAAGTGATAAAATAAAAAATGAAAGTCTGTGAGTATGTGTTGCTCCCACCTGTCTACTAGTCCCTCGGAAGTAGTGGGTGTTGATGGTTTGCATGGCTTGCTTTAAAAGAGAATTTTTACATACATGGATATAAATAATTCTGTTTAAAGGACTATTCTCTCCATGTTTTAAAAATGACATGTCGTAAAGATCATTTGTATCAGTATGAAATGGACCCATTTGTGTGTGTGTGAAATAGTTGACTCTCCCATACCCATTGTTCCCTTTCCATGAGGTACTGATTCATTGCAACAGCTGCTTTTGGGTACCTTGTCTGCCTACCACTAGGAGGGCTGGTGTGTGGCTGCTGGGCTGTTGATCTTTTGTATTTTTGAGAGTTTAGAGGAAAGAGCAGGTATTGGAACCAACAGGTCAGAGAGCAGTTCTCAGCTGCAGCAGCCTTATTAGCAGAAGACCACAGACAGCAGCATGGCCTTTCAAAGGGCCTCACAGTCCTCAGTGCTGAACGAGTTTGTCCCATCCTTTCTCCTTTGTGCAAGCATATATGAGCTTATGTTGGTACCGTATAAGGAGAGTATTTCAGGGACTATTTGATTTATACCAGTTGAGTGTACCCATCCTACAAATCTGTCTGTCTCTCTTTCTCTCTCTCTCTTTTTTTTTTTTTTTTGGATAAGAATGAAGCCAAGAAAAAATTAAAGAAGATGATGCTCCAAGAACAATAGCTTGCCTCATAAAGTAAGTAATGCTAGGGGGAAAGTGTTCATTAAACTGTTACTGGAACTGTAGCGAGTTTATGAAATTTGGCACTTTAATTTCCACTTTCATAATAGAGACAAATAAGGGACTACATACAGTCTTTGGTTTCTAAATTCCGGAGATTTAAGTTTGGTTATTTAGGGAAAGGACACTTAAATCTATTAAGTGGGGCTACGTAGGAGCCGATATTTTTATTGACTATATTATTTTAGGGATTTCTTTTGGGAATCATTAATAAGTCTATCCTGAAAACATTGGCTTGTGTTTCAACCATGAACCTTTATGAGAATATAGGCTTACAATATAATTTGGAAGTTATTTTAGATGTTGCTAAAGTAAGCCAAATATAGACTTTTATAATTTCCTTTACAGTTATCTTATTTGCCCTGTTAATCATATTATTGGAAGGGTGCCTAATTGTTTTCAAATGTAGTTAAGTCTCTCAAAATACAAGGATAACCTGGAAGTATGTTCAGGTATTGATTGAGAATCTGTTTCCAAACTTAATTGACTGTAAAAACCAACAAAAATAAAAATACCACATAGATGAAGAGAAACAAGGGGCAAAATTATCAATGGGATAAAGTATTCCTAAAAGTCAACAGTTGAGAAGAATAAATTTAGTTCTGAAGTCACCTCTGAAGATGGTGCATTTGTGTTTTTGTAATTCTTTTTTAATGTTCTTAAATACAGAGATTTCAAAATACAAAATTATTTCATTGGAACCAAAAGTAAAACATTTGAAAACATTTGCTTCAGTGCTCGTTATCTTTTTAGCTTCTTTGTTACTTCTTTCCAATTAAGTTTGTTTTTTCAATTCCATTTTCTAAATGGAAGGTGAACTTAGAGGTCAAGGTGAAAAACTGGCTTTCCCCTCCCTTTTTGCCTGTAAAGCTGTCTGGTGGTGACCTGTGCTGTCCTTCTGTCATGCTGTCTCACCATTTCCCCACTCACTCCATCATGGGCAACAACTGCGAGAAGAAATTAGTTGAGGACATGCTGCTCTCGGCACCACACATCCATCTGCCTTCCCCGCGCTGGTACCGCTTCCTTTGCTGTGCCTCTTCCTTTTCCCAGTGTCTCACCAAATAAATTTTCTTCTGTGTTGCCATTCCTTGGAGACCCTCTTTCTTCTTTCTCTGTCAAGAAGGGGAAAGAGGCAAAGAGAGAAGAGGGAACAGTAGGCGATGGAGAATGACAGCCCATTGTTGCAGCACAGAATATGGGGCCCACCAAAGGTAGTGGTGGACTACCACATTTTTAACTCCTTTATTTCTCAGGCTTCTGTGTACTTCATCTGGGGGACATAGCTGGTGAGGCGGCTGTGGTGTAACTGGAAGCCGGGGTGCTGGGTCTACTCCCAGCTTGGCTACTACTAGTAGTGTGACCTTGGGCAAGTCTACTTCAAGATGTCTCTAAGCCTCAGTTTCCTCATCTGTAAAACACGGGTTTACAGTAAATGACAAGGCCTTTCTCAGCTGTCTGTTTTTTGTCTTAAATTATTTAATGTTCTGCTGTAATGCTAAAGTGGAGTTAAAATGGGGGGTTGGGGAGGTGGTTTTGTTCTAACATATGTCAGTAAAGGCTTGTTACGCGATGAGCGTTTCTTGCCGTTTGCAGTGTAACCACTAAGCTGCTTTCTCTGTTTTAGGGCTGCACAAAGATTTGGATAACTCTGCTATGAGGAAGCATCTGCACACCCACGGTCCCAGAGTCCACGTCTGTGCAGAATGTGGCAAAGCTTTCGTTGAGAGCTCAAAGCTAAAACGACACCAACTGGTTCATACTGGAGAGAAGCCCTTTCAGGTAGAGCCAGTTCCCTCTCCCCTCCACACTGCCTTGCTGTCCCCACATTTCAGGCTAGGCATGCTAGGCCGTTTGGTGATGGTGCAGGAGGGGCAGCCAGCGCATGGGGCTCTTCTCTCGCTCCTGATGCGACACTTAAAGGGGCTGCTTAGGCTCCTGGTTCCCATGTGCAACCTGGGTGATGCAGGATAGGGGGCGGGGCACATGGTGTTTATGGAGCACACTTGAAGAGGGAGAGAAATGGGATTGCAAAAGCAAGCCTGTACTAAATTTCTAGCATGCTCACAGTGGGATGGAAGCCATTCATTTTTGGTAGTCAGTGGTATATTAAATTACTAATTGACAGAATTTCTAAAATTTTATTGTATGATAGTAAGTAGAGTTAATATTTTGTCTTGTTTTCATAAGCCCATAAATAGGTGAATGAACTGGCAATGAACCTGGTGATCCTAATACGGTTCTTTTTGATAATTAACACAAAAAGACTTCTGATCATTTGCATTTTGCTGTTGGGAGTATTACAGAAGTTACAGGGCCTAAACCTGACAGTGATTGCCGTTCTTGCCAGTGTTTCTCTTAAATTGGTATTTAATACTGTTGGTGAGAGCTAGCCATGGCTTTTAGGATTTTGCAGCATGCAGAGTTGGAAATCCTACTAATTCTACATTAGTATCTAGAAAGTTCTGCCAAGACAGGAGGAAATGTGTTTGGTAAAAAAATGAGCTGTTTTCCCAAAGCAGTGAGCTGCTGACTCCAGGGTCTGGTCACAGTTTCTGAGTGGGTTGATGTCTGGTCTTTCCTCGACAGTGCACATTTGAAGGCTGCGGGAAACGCTTTTCACTGGACTTCATTTGCGTACACATGTGCGAATCCATACCGGAGACAGGCCCTATGTGTGCCCCTTCGATGGTGTGTAATAAGAAGTTTGCTCAGTCAACTAACCTGAAATCTCACATCTTAACACATGCTAAAGCCAAAAACAACCAGTGAAAAGAAGAGAGAAAGACCCTTCTCGGCCACGGGAAGCATCTTCAGGAGTGTCATTGGGAATACATACGCCTCTCCTTTGTATATTATTTCTAGGAAGAATTTTAAAAAATGAAATCCTACACACCTAAGGACATGTTTTGATAAAGTAGTAAAAATTAAAAAAAAAAAACTTTAATAAGATGACATTTGCTAAGATGCTCTATCTTGCTCTGTAATCTCGTTTCAAAAACACGGTGTTTTTGTAAAGTGTGGTCCCCAACAGGAGGACAATTCATGAACTTTCGCATCAAAAGACAATTCTTTATACAACAGTGCTAAAAATGGGACTTCTTTTCACATTCTTATAAACATGGAGCTCACCTGTTGCTTACATTACTATTTTTTAATTTTGTATTTTCAAGTGTGCATATTGTACACTTTTTGGGGATTATATGCTTAGTAATGCTATGTGTGATTCTTCTGGAGGTTGATAAACTTTGCTTGCAGTAGATTTTTCTTTAAAAAGAATGGCAGTTACATGCATACTTCAAAAGTATTTTCTTGTACAAAAAAAGTTATATAGGTTTTGTTTGCTATCTTAATTTTGGTTGTATTCTTTGATGTGTTAACACATTTTGTATAATTGTATCGTAAAGCTGTATGGAATCATGTAGTATCAATATTAGATGTGATTAATAGTGTTAATCAATTTAAACCCATTTTAGTCACTTTTTTTTTTTTTCCAAAAAATACCTGCCAGATGCTGATGTTCAGTGTAATTTTCTTCGCCTGTTCAGTTACAGAAAGTGGTGCTCAGTTGTAGAAATGTATTGTACCTTTTAACACCTGATGTACATCCCGTGTAACAGAAAGGGGAACAATAAACAAGCAGTCCTAAAGAAAAGAATATGGCAGAAAAAGATATGTAAGCACAGTCTTATTTTCTTTTTGTTGTCCAAAATACTTAAAATTCTTGAGCCTCCAGAAATTGGAAGCTAAATAAAGCAACTCAAGTTTCCTTTACTTTTGCACTCAGTTACAGTGACTTGTGACTAAAGCGATGCATGGGTATGTCAATACTTCCTGCACCCCTAGATTCTGAAAAGTAGACATCCCAAGTTAAGGAGCTACCTCAGAGTATCCAGACTGGCCTGTGGTGATAGGCTGCATTTGTATCCCAGTAAGGGGGGGAATGGCACCTTTGTGCAGGGCCAATGCCTTCTGATGGTAAGGTGCTAACTGGCAGCGGACATCCCAAGGAAAACCAGGCCTTTCTTTTCCACTGCTCAGGCTGCCTTCAAAAGGCAGTCCAGTGGGTTCTTGACTTGTCCAACAGGGAACATGGCTGTTGGCATTTGGTGTGAGAGCCTTTGTTCTTCTTCGTCTAGTGGAGTCTATTAAATGCTAGCAGAGATGTGGCAGTTGAGTGCCAGTTGCTTGATTTCATGCTTCTGAACGGACACTGAGTAGCTTGGCAAGGTTGATTAGATTACTAGAGAATTGTACTCAATGAGTACTTACATCTCACGTTGCAACCTCTTAAATGTATACTTTTTTAATTTACTTAGGATCAAATATCAGACTTGGTTGAAATATTTTATAAGCTGTCATGATACAGCAAAATCCCATTTATTCAAAATGCAAACATACTGTGTGTCTTTCTGTGCTGACTGAATGCTTGACTCTGCAAAGTAAATACAAACTAGCTATTATTTATTATTTAAAAGTGACCAAGACACCATCAAGTCAGACATGTAGCCCTATTTCTTACAGCTTCCACCAGGAGGATGGGTGACCTAGTAACGTGACCCTGTGGCTGTGGGATTTTTGAAGTTGCCTTCTGAATCATAGTGAAAATTTTAACTCCACACACTTTGTTTTTATTTGTTCAGAATCTTGTTTCCATTGAGTAGTTTGGACGAACTGAGTTAATCAGAAGACCCAGCTGTCCTCTGGATAAGCCAGGCTTTACTGTATCTGGCAGCCAGGAGAGAGTAAGGCCATGGTGGAGGGCCCCTTGAAACTGACTGGCCTCTTGTGATTCACTTCACTAGACCTGGGCAGAGCTCCTCCACTGGTGCTCTTGTAAGTGCCCATGCCTTTCCTCCCGCAATCGGGAGAGCAGTGCCTGTATGGCTATTCTGAAATGCCACTCCAGTCAGTAGCTGTTTGAAGAGGTCCAGAGCCACCACCACCTTCACCCAGCATTATGCTGTACTCCAACCTGGCCCTGGCGATGTCCTCAGGACCTTTGCCCAAGGCCCCACAGCAGAGCAGACCTGTGCTGGGGGAAGTCCCTCCAGCAGCCCCAAGAGCCATGCTATGACCCACAGGAGCTAGGTCCTTGTGGAATGAGGTCCCTCTTCCTCTGTGCCTTGATGCCTTGGGGATGCCCTTGGTCATCTCTTCCCTCTCTGTCTCTCCTTGCCCCTCTTCCATTCTCATGTCTTCTCTGAGTCAGTAGAGTTAACTTCTATAAGGAGCTGAACTTGGGATCCCATACAAGATCCTTGTAGACATAGCACTCTGAATTTACAACAGTTAAGAAACTAATAAGTGAGCAACAATGTAAAGAATAGAGGCATTGCTTCATTTGGGTGTTTGACTTAAACCCAATTTGCTTTTAGAATTTATAATTTTGTTAAAGGTGTAATTACTAAAATTGAAATGGTGTTCTAACAAAGTGAGTCCATTGTCTTGAGAATTAATCTGATTTATACGTAATATACCGACATATTTTTCTTACATTCAAGCATAGATAAATGCATGTTCTAGCATATGTAATATAAAAACTCCAGAGGATAAGTTTTACACTTAACAAGATGTTTGTTTTCTATTTTTTGAATTTATTATTTCCCCCTTTTGTGTAGTGGGTGGGCATGATTTTGTATTTAAAGAATTGTCACATTTAGTTCCAACGGTGACACTTGAGGCTCATGCTGTTGTTTTCATGCAGTGTTTGTTGTGCTTTTCTCAGACTCAAGCTTTGAGGAGTTGATGGAAATCCATTTTTTTCCCCCCTCGTTTTCGTGGGTGGTTAGAGAGGGCGGTATGGGGGCGGAGTTGAGGGTACGGTCGGCGTAGGGCGGGAGGGGCGGCGGGTGGGGGTGCGGTGGGCCGCGGCGCGCGTGGGCGGAAGCGAATGTGGGGCGGGGATTTTTGGGGGGGGTGCGAGGGGCCGTGGGGGTGGGTGGGGAGGGGTGGGATGTTTTTTCACCACACCATGATGTTTTCTTCTAAAATGTCATTCATTCTTGTAAAAGCAAGGGGATGAGGTGCTCAAGTAGTAGAGCGACCTGCTATAGCAATCATGAAAACCCTGGCGTTCAAACTTCTAGGATGGCCAAAAAAGTAAAAGAGTAAAGACCTGGAAGAGAATGGCGCTGTTCAGTGCCGGACCCGTTTGAAAGCAAAGTTCCAGTTATTTCTTCAGAGTAATGAAATCTTACACGACCTGCGTTCGGTCTGCCTGATTGGGCCTGTAGATGTTTGCCTGGGCTTTTGGCTGCCCCACCTTTCCTCTCCGTTTAGCAGGGCTCACCTGTAATAAATAATGACTCAGATCAGTCTCCAGCTAGAGTTTGTCCACAGCCCAGGAAAACTTGGCCCTCTGGAACAAGTTTTTAGACTCGGAAACCTTGGAGATTTCACCCACCTGTACTACAGGGCAGCCGAGTTGATCACTTTCTGACTTCTCAGTGAGCTGGAACTTAGCATGGATCAGGAAGTCTTTGGTGTTGCTTTTTTGTGTTCTCTTATTTGGCTTACAGCCAGAGAGGGATCCCGAGGTCAGAAGAGCGGAGTTGCTCACCAGCAAAGCCAAAGGCTTCCTCTCGTCCTGGCTGGCTGCTGAAGCAGCTTCTTGCCTGGCACTGCCCTTGGAGCCCTGGCTACAAGGAATCCTCTGACTTGTTGGCCCTTTGTCCTTGCTCCTTGCATTAGTGTGAATGGAGCATCTCTTCTATTTTGGCCCAGCATGACTGGCAGGTGCATTCACCCAAACTCTCAACTCCGAGGAAACTTGCAGTTGGCTCTCACCTGTACCTCATAGCCTGCTCTTTGACCTACAGGGCAGAAGGCACTCATTGCCTCCAGAATCATTCTTGCCCCAGCAGCATTTGACCTGATGGCTGGCTAGGTTTTCATTCACTATTCACTCCAACTAATGACATTACCCTATCTTGTTCAAATGCTTTGGTTGTCTAAGCATGTTTTGAGTGCAGGCCCTTTAGATGAGAGAGGCTTCTTGGCATCCTCCCCAAGCCTGAGTGGTCAGCGTGGTGCCGGGAAGAGCTTTCAGCTGGGGCAACATCGACTTGGTGGGAGGAGTGGGTAGCAGATGTGTGTCAGTTCCTTTATAAAAACTGTAAGGGACCACTGAAAAAATACTGGCATTAGCTCTCCAGGTGAATCGGACTCCCACAAAGGGCCCAAGAAGGTGTGAGAGCTGCCACATGGAGTCTTTGGCCAGGCTGGAGCCCCACCCACATGTTACTGGCCAGCATTCTGGAAGTCTGCAGAGGGTGCCTGTGGTGGTACACATTCATCTGAAGCACAGTGCTTGGTTTTCCACAAGTGGCACGTTTTGATCCTTAAGGACTCTTCAGGCAGCCTAAGAAACAGTATGGGGGCGTTGGGGAGGGCAGCTGGCTGTGCTGGATTTTTGCTGCCCTGCCTGTCTGCATGCATCCTGAAGGAGAGAAGGCATCGCTACTGAACGGAGTCAGACCCTTTATTCTACAATGCCAGCAACTTATCTACAAATGGCGAGGAAACTTCTGTCGTATTTACTTTCTGCTAACTGGCTCAAGGACTTAGCATTGCGTCTCATGTACATCTTCTCTTAAGTGTTCTTTGCTGTTTCTGGAATTGTCCTTGGTTTTTCCTTAGCTCATAGGTCATAGACACAGAAATAATTAGAGTATTTAAGGCATCTGCATCAAGCATCAGAAAATCGATAACTCAGTTTGAAGCACCAAGCATGTGTAACATGGCTCTATAAAGTATAATAAACACATAATGTTAAGCTTTTTAATGCCTATGGTTCTTGCTTGTTTCTCATTGCACATTCAGCCTAGAGGTGAA